GGATATAGCTCGCTAGCAGCCTCGCACCGAGGACCTAGTTGATGTCACCATTTACCCAGAATGCTTTGTGTGTAAATAAAATGGCCATGTCCGTGTAATATATTTTTAAACTTTTAGTTTAAAAATGATAAAAACTAAACAGCCTACAGTATTTTTACAGTCTTTATTTTACAATTAAAGTATATGTTTATCAAATAAATAACGTTACAACTAATCGGGGATCCCTTTAAAATATTAGATCTCTGAGTTGAAAAGGGGAGAAGAGGGGCTTTACTTTTCCGCTTGTGTTTCTTAGAATGAGACGATGATCTCTTCCTCTTTTTACTCCTCTTCTTCTTTAACGGCTCCTGGTTCTCCTCCGATATCCTCGTTTTTGGCTTTGCCTTCACCTCTTTTCTCCTGCAAAAGGACACAAATGATTCATCTGTCTTTGACGTCAAAATAATTTACATTTTATTATTTAAATGAGGCTGATGTGGCGTACTTGTGATGGTAGTTGAGTTTGAAAGAGCATTCAGGGCACAGTCCTGGAACAGAAAAAAATACATCATTACACCGCATTACCCTCCATAATGTAACGTTGTTAAAATATTTCCAAGGTTATTACTTTCATTAATTTTATCATAACAGCTTTATTGTAAGAGGYAAATAAAATAAGTGACTGTATTTAAATAATTATTAAACATTTCTAGTGGTCAAAATGTGCATTTTTTTATTTACTGGCCGGTGTTAATAGACTTGTAAAAACACACTGTTTTATTTTCTATGAGTGATTTTAGTCTTTCAGTTAGCTTCCCATTATACACAGATATACATGTATGCAGGTAAATTTTTTTAAATTGTTGTTCTTAAAATCACGTTAGATTTAGCTTTAAGGTATGAGTCACATCTTTTAAAGTGGGATTCTGTCAAAAGCTTCAAACAAATTTCCTTAATTTATTAGCATGAAAACAAGTGTACAAAGTATATAAAAGCACTTGTTACATAAAACATATTTCAAAGCAGTACTTWAAGTAAAAATAGCAAATGAAATTTAATCTTGGCCTTAGGATAAGCACCATAGTTCATTTTAAAGTGTTAACATCAAGTAGTAGAATAATCAGGAATACTTTCTAACCWTTAGCCAAAATGTCTTTACCTAGACAAACAGAACCATTAATATTTTACCTCAGGGCTCTTCACCTTGCTCAGGGGGCCACAGATACTCAAAGCCAACATGTTAGGGGCCGGACTTTGCCAGATAAGTGTATGGGAAACACTGCATTATGTATAAAGAACAAGTATTATCTTTTACCTTTAAAAACGTGTTTATTTCATTGCATTGAATTTTAAATGTACAATTTATTCTATTTTTATATTAAATTAAGTATTTWAAAAAAAATATGGGGAGAGGAGCCTAATAGGTGGGAAAGACAGAAGTCATCCATGGGATGGATGTGTTCCTGTCTTACTGGTTGTGGAAAGCTCTCAGTCTCAGTTCAGAGAGGTCAAGTTTAATTCAGTTTTTGGGGCTTTAGACTAATCTGTGCAGGGAAAAAAATCAGAAATATGACACTACCACTGACGTCCAGGCTGAACCAGAAGTGCTACAGTCAGCTGCTGCTGCCGCCACTCTAAATAAATAACCAAACATGCAAAATAAGATAGCTTTTGCATGAATTACTGAAACTTTGGCACTGATGCTTGAAGATGGCAGCAATCCACACCGAGTTTGGTTCAAAGAGTGGTCTATAGCAGACAAGGTATTAATTGTTTTTCATGTTTTCACAAACCCCATTTCAAAAGATCTGAACCATCTCTTTAAATCAGGACTACATTTTAATCTGCAATAATTAGAAAAACCTTTTAAAAAGACTAAAGAATTATAATAATCCTAATTTTTCTCTTTTCAACATCTTAAACAGTTGCTGAGTCTTGTTTCTTTACCGTCACAGAATGTATTTTTTTTTTCTTTTTAAAGAGCAGAACCTGGGAAATCTTTGAGTAGAAAATAAACAGTGTGTCTGGAAGTGACCTGTCACTTTAGCTTGTTCAAATAATCTGTCACTCCCTACTTAAATGACTTAGCTCTGACTCTTGGATCCTCAAATTACAGTCATTTTAACGCGATTCTCTGCAGTATGACACATAAAAGAGGGTTATTACGAGTTGGGTGTCAGACTGGTGCATTTCCACAGACACATAATTATGTTCACACATGCTCAGTAGATCTTTTCTTTAAATAAATAAATAAAACTCATCTTACTGAGTTTGACCAAAGCATTCCTTTTCTCCCCGTGCTCTACGTAGGCAAAGTTCACCTCCCAGCTTTTTAAGCCTTCCTCCTTTTCACACCGTTTGTTCCCGCACTGGAACTGACCTGGAAGACAAGAGRGTCCACTTTGTTCACACGTTCAAGCGTTTACAGTACTCTCACAAATGTAGTTTTATATTTATGTCACATTGGGGGGCGGGGCTTTTATTCTTTTTTTTTTTTGTTTACATTTATACTGAATGAGCAATAAAAACCATAGAGAACATACTAGGCAGAAAATATTGAAACAGCAGAAAACTGAACAGAAAGAGAAACCAAACTTTTATTAAAAGGACTGAGAATCTTACAAATCTCCCAAAAAACTTGCAACCCTGCATATTTCCTTCACCCTCCTACCACCCCCGCCTCCCGTTCATCAACACTGCTTTCCTCATCTCCTTGTCTTCATCTTGCTTCGTGCCCTGAGGCCACCCTCCAGCCGCTGCGCAGCCTGCCTATTATCCCCAGAGGAGCTTAAGGTTGCACTGATCTGGTCTCCGGGGTTCCTCCAGATTGTAGCCGAGTGCGTCAGAGCGCTSCGTTCTTGGCTCGGCGACAAGAACTCCTCCTCCGGCGWGAGAAAAKCCRGGCMCGCCCTCACCTGTTGGTGATCAAGACGCTGGCAAAAATCGGGTGAGGTGGTGGCTTCAGGCCACTTGAGCTCTAAGACCGACCTGGTCTTCACGTGCGGGATTTGAAGTTCTGTGACGTCAGTTTTGGAAAAAGAAAAAAAAAGAACGTCTGGCTCCGGTCCCACGTTGTAACAACAATCACAGGATTTGTCAGTCAGTCAGTGACACTATGTTGACAGRACASCAAAATATAAGTTCATTGGTGGAACGAAGACGATCGATATAACAAGCTCCTGGCATCAAAAAGCATTTTTAATAGCTTTCCATAAACATTTAATGGTGTTTATCTAATGTCTTCTGACCATTTGCTGCTTAACAGTTCAGAGATWATGAACTTCTTTTCCTTTTACTTTAAAGGTTTTAGATTTAAATTGGGAAAACTGAAGCTTCAGGCAAAATCAATCATTTAATGTTTTCATAATGATCACTGCATTAAGTCAGGGGTCCTTAAGAGTTCTTCTAAATCAGACCGACTGAGAACATTTGCTCCCAAGTTTCTACCTATGAATCCTGATTTGCTTGAGTTTTATTTTACTTTTACTCAAACCTACAAAAGATTTAACCTCATGCTTCAACACTGGCATCTTCATATAAATAATTGGAATAACTTCAGGCACCATTAGTTCTTTATAACCAGAAATAAACAATTGTAAAAAAAAAAAAAAAAAAGGAGTAATAAAAGCATAACTTTTATGGCTAAAAAATGATTTACTCTGCAACACAAGTGTCCTTGAACATGGTTCTAAATTCTTCCAATGTAATAGACGAAGATGCAATGTATTCAGAGGTTAGAACAGTGTGAGTTTGACCCGCCTGAAGCTACACACGACCTCCACCCTGGCAGAGAGGGATTAATACAAAWCTGTGTCTAGGCAATTTCTTTGACAAAATAAATGCAGAAACAAACTAAATAWAATCAAGGTCAGAATTGTTCCCCTGTTTCTGACAKTTTTCAACCCTCGGGCTCTACCATGTCTCATCTAAAAACTAATATGTGCCGCTTAGGTGACTTCTGTTCGGTGGGCTTTTTAAACAAGGCCACAAAGGGCATTTCTCTTTTACATAACAGGCTCCCTTYTTGGGTCCAGGTATCATAAAAAAAAACAAGATATACTGTGGTTTGTTGACATATGCCGAGGTATTCCCACACTTTAATACAGGTTAGCCTCACATGGGTCTGTGACAAGAAAAAAAAAAAGAAGCTGACAACAGGATGGCTGAGTAAACTCGTTAAGAGGGGAAACTCCTTTGCTCTTACGTCAATTGTTAATCAAGCCACCAGCCAGCAGCCTGAGATCAAGACAGAGATTTATCACGGGCCAGATGGCTGCACGATTAACAGTCACTGGATAAAGGCAAAGGGCAGAGATGTGAGTCAGCGCGCATTTACTTTTTAACCCTCCTGCTGCCCCGGGGTCAAAATCTGCATTTTTGACCTCAGGGCAGCAGAAGGTTTAATCACCTTTAAATAACTCTTATGAGTTCAGACACTGGAAATGTGGACAAATTTATGCTGTATGATGAATTATTTTGTTTGAGCGTAAACTGGTTAATCATTTTGGCTGAGATATAAAAAGATAAACGTGTTTAATAAAGCTGCAGCAAATTAGCATATTAGCTGACTAACATTAGGCTCTCATTCAACAGAGCTCTACTAAAAATTTTCTACTTCGCCTCAATCCATCATTAACAAATCCAAGAACAGAAGTAGCATTTCTGCATTATGGTGTTTTTTTTTAATCATTTAGTAAAAGTTTTCATTTTCTAAGATGCATTTTTTTGTAAAGCAGCTACTGTTTTCCTCTCCTGCATTCCAGGGATGTGATTTCCACAACATAATCAGGTGGCTTCTTAATACGCTGCTGGCTGAGGACTTGAACATCACAGCCAATCAATGTAGGGTTTAAGCCCCGCCCACCAGCTAAAGCGATTTCTCAGGGTGTCGAGTTCAAGCATTTTATTTTGCATTTATGTTTAAATTATTTCCTTCAAGAGTTTCCTGAACTTTTTAATAAAGCAGATCAGAAAATCCAACAGTTCCTTTGAGAAACCCAACTCTGACWAATTTAGTTAATTAAATGATTAATTAGACTGATTAGCTATCAGCCCACGTAGTGCTCACACAGCGGTGAGCGTCTGTCTTTACCTCTAAATAGGCTTCGCCTTAGTGGGATGCTCTTTTTTTTATATCTAATTATGTTACTGACCGCTGCTAATTAACATCATTACAAGAGAGATGTTCCTGCAGGTGTTTTTAAGCAACTTTGAGACTAATATTTAATCAACTCTGAGGTTAAGGYAATAATCTAAATATTTTTAAAGCAGAGTTCTGTGGAAGTTTATGAACAATCAGTATCTTAMCTGTTGTAATTTTAATGGATAATCRTGAGCAGGGCCAAAAATTACACGGATTGCTGAACTTCAACCTCAAAAAATTTACTTTACATAAACCCTCCTATTGCCACGAATCCTACATTACAGTTACAGTATTTACAAATAAACGCAAAMAGCAGCAGCACCCGGATGCATTATATGTTTGTTTACAAATGTAAGATTAACTGTTTTTTTATAATCATATATAATTATAAAAAACAAAAAATAAATTAAAATAACTGTTAAACATACTGTTTACCTACCCTCACTATGGCCATGTTAGTCAATGCCATGATAAGACAAGTGCTTTGTTTACAATGAGTGCATACCCGCATTTTATATTTACATTTAAAATACAGTCTCTGAAAAACTATTTGGAGTCAAATTATTTAAATTGCACCATTTAATATAGTTCTGGATAATCACTTGGCTTGTTTGATTACATATTTTGTAATGACTACCTTTAAAAAGGTCTGAATCACTAGAATAAGAGAGAGGAGTGTGTGTGTGTGTGTATATATTAAAATATATATATATATATATATATATATATATATATATTTTTTTTTTAAATTTTAGAGATATTAGACTGGCATTGATTTTATCACCTTCCAGATAAAAATCCCAGGCAAATTTTCTAAAATGCTGAGCTGTCCTCCAGATGTGGTGGCGATCACGACGCTTCCTGATCCGCTCATCAACTTGGACTGCTGGCATGTGAGCGACTGATGATGGAACGCTGCGCCTCAACGTGCACACATATGCTTCTCAAACGATGTTTGGCAGCCACGCAGCCCCCGGAACGAATCAGACTTAGATGTTTTCTRTCTGCCTTTCACACTGTGAAGAACGCTGACCTCATCTTTAGCACTGTTCTAGTTTGTGGAGCAAACTGTACTAAATCCCACTGAGCTCTACCTGCTCAGGTCTCAACTGTAAATCAGAGGATCCCTCATGTCTCAAACCTTTGTGTGCGCACCTTGTTACACATAAACAAACATGACATCATCGTTATTCTCCAGCGAGCTGTGGGCAAACAATGCATCACTTCTCACACTCAAAGATACATTCAGAAACTATATTGTAGCCGATGGATCCCGTCTGATAAAACTGAGCACAGTGGGATACTCGTGATTATAAAGTACAAACAATTTCTGGAACTCAAGCCTGATTTAAATCAGATGGAATGGTTCTCAGCTATAAATTGGCTCGTCACTTTCAGTTTACCTCAATTTAACTTTAAGAGAAACCATCAGGATGCAGCATGAGGTGACACAATCTGAAATCATTCACTTTAGAGATGGATGAAATAATTTGTATGAAGCTGACAAATAAATTATAAGATCAGACAGGTGAGAACAGAACAGAACTATGAAAAGGGCTGAACAGTAGTGGTGTGTTTTTATTAAAAAAAAAAAAAGAGTTAGAGGCGATTTGGGCAAACTTTACGAGATGTGTCAGAGCTCAGAAAATGTGTTGATAATGACTCACAGTTACTACCACAACAATTTTCAGCACAATAAAACTGAATGAGTCRTAGCCATTTTTGTGCTGGCTAATGCTGATTAGCTGTTTTGGCCAAGTTGAACTGGTTTGACTTCAATCATTCATCAGCTGTAGAATCCAGTGACTGCTTCCTGAACGTTTTGTTAAACTCCATCCGGTGGTTTGTGAGATATTTTGCTAACAGACAGGCAAAGCTGACTGTAACAGTTAATGGTCAAGTTTTAAAAGCAGATCTTGTGCTATCAGTTAGTTCTCAGTGTATGTGTTGTGGACAGTACTCAGCTACCATCATGCATAGTTTTAGCTCAGCATCTGTAAAATTGGCTAAATTGTAGGCATTTCTGTGTTTGGTAAGTTCACCTAGCTGTGGCAGCCATCTTGAATGGGGTTAACTCCAAATGTKAAACAGTTGTAGAAGTGCATCCAGTTATTAGTTTCTGAAAGTTTCATCACAATCTGTGAAATGGTATATTAGATATTTTGCTAACAGACAGACAAATACACTTGAGTAAAACCAATTTTCAGCAGTGGGTTATAATGAACTAAATTATAGTTGAATAGATAMAAACTATAATGTCACTACATACTGTATGCTTAAAGCAGTGTTACACTCCTGCCTCTCAAAGGAGGCAGAGGTGGTTCAAGCCTGATTCCTGATCTTTAAGAATAAAAGGAGAAGCTTTCTTTTCTTCTTTTTTCTAAAGTAAGTGAAGTTGCATAATCCAAGGCCGTACCTGATGTCATCTGATGTATAAGAACCAAAGCTTCAACTACTATCGCCTTCTGACCTCCTCCTGACAGCTACACTAAAGCGCAATTTACACCGAAAGGAAAAAAACAACAACAACATAAAACAGAGAAAAAAACATGACCTGGAATGAAGCGCTGCATGGCCTCCACCACAGCTGAACAACTGCTCCAACAAAAGGGAACAAAAAAATAAATAAATACACAATCTGGGCTGCCACATAAAACTGAATGTCAGTTACATTCAAGCTCTTGCCAAACAAGTCTGTAAAATGCCAATCTGCGAGAACATTCCTGTGTTAGTGCACTGTGTTTTATGTCAACCAACAACGAGGAAAAAAATAGAAATATAGTTTAAAAAAATAAAAAGGGAGTGATTTCGAGGACAAACAAACATTACAGTCTCTAGAGGTTTCTCCTCGGAGAGAGCAAAAAAGAAAGAAAATAACCTCTAAAAGCAGACGCCGATGTTACCTCGCAGCTCATGAACGCAACTTGTAAAATCTCTCATGTAGCTGTTACACTACACTGACTCCACTAACGGCAAAAAGCAGCACACGCAGACAATATGTTTGCTCTCCCTGCAGGAAGAGGAGGACACAAGTTCTGCTCTCCCAGTTAAATATTTCATGTGAGATTTCCCTTATTACACAGACTTTAGCCAACATGTTTTATTAAAAGGCAAAATGAGGTTCGGTGAAACGCTTTTGTCGCAGATTTATCAGGAAATGTTGTTAAAAGACTGTGTTTTGTTTGTGAAAGTGGGTAAAAATGCCAGTGTGTAGTGAATACTCATTCCAAGCATAGAATCAGCTTTAATACTTGATTTATTGGCTAAAAGTGGCAATTTTCTAACTAGTTTGAGCTCTTAAAGGGACAGTTCATTTCTTTTGTTCTCATAAATTTCTAAATGGTTTTTGAAAGTCCTATTTTATCTTTTTTTTTTACAACGAAGCAAATTTCACATCATATGGTTACTCCAGCAGAATTACGATATTCTGCTGGATGTTTCCCAAGCTGCACCAGAAGTGCTACAGCTAACTGCTGCTGGTATCCATTAAATTAATTTAAAGCAACGTAAAGACTTTAAAACACCTTCCACAAAACCATTATGACACATGTGCCAAACTCAAGGCCTGTGGGCCAAATGTGGCCCATGAATGACTTGTTTTGGCC